CCCAGGAAAACATTCGTACAAGAACAGTTATTTAGAAGAACAGATCCCGTCGGCTCCTCCTGAAATATAATATATTCTCTATTTCAGTGTTGGGATCTGGAATTCATTGCTGTGTCCATGAGATGCCTCCGACGTGAAAGGGGGGACATGATCAAGAATAGAAAGGGGGCGTTCTGCTGGTATCTCTAAACCCTGGCTCTATTCAAGACACAGTTGTCTAAAAAGATAAATTTTAACACCGTTAAAAAGTAGGTGAAACAGCTTGCTGACATTTCGAGGTAAAGACGAACGATTAACGTCCGAAACGTCAGTAAGTTGTTTCACCTACCTAAAAGAGCAAAATGGTGAAATTCCGTACCCTATTCAAGTACCTAAATTCGTAAAATGTAGCCCCTGTCTACGACATAAACCAGTAGTGCTCACGTACAAAATGTTAATATTTGTTTTTACAAATGTTTTTTTTTTTACATTTTTTTTTTTTTACTTTTGACTTTGTCAGTCTAGATAAATATTGAAACCCTGCATAAGGCATGGAAAGAGTACACCCCTTTGAAAGCGGCAGTATATTTATGCAACTCCGTCAACAATCGTAATTAGTAACTTACCATTTTTTTGGTTCGCGATCTGCCTCGATCTGGTGTTCGTAGTTCGGCTCTCATGATGTTGTTTAACTCCCTTAACTGAACAAGGGAATCATTGAAAAGTTTCAGTTTTTGGCCATTTAGTTTTCAATTCATATTCATTTACTTTTGTCCAGCTTATATTCCACTTTATCCGGACTTTTCTTTGATTAGGGAAGAAAATGCATGGGATGTCTGTTTGACGCTTATTAATGAGACTTGTGTTTGAGTGTTATAAAAACGTTTTTTTGCTCGAATACACCTCGGAAAATAATTTCAAAATGAAGATTTTTTTAACATTTACATGTATGTTTATATCTATTTCAGGTCGTTCGTGGACATACATATATAAAGGTTATATTAAAGGCCAAGGTATTGTACATGGTCAATACGAACCCATAATTATTAGCATTCAAAACATTTGATAGAAGCAAAGGTGAGATGTAAGAAAACCATGAAATAATATAAATAAAAAATCATGAAATAAAATCAAACTAAATACTAACAAATAGCGGCTATTTAGAGACAAATTGTCAGTATCAATGAACCAGAACACGCTATTAGTATTTAGTTTGATTTTATTTCATGGTTTTCCTGTGTTTGCTCTATTGAACTAGTCTAGGCTTTGTCTCAACACGGCATCAGTGTCTCTAATGCTTTACAGTTATGATAAAAGATTATTAGTAATGCATTGTATGAGATGCGTTGTACTGACCTCCTCGGCATTCATGACAGTCATTTCACCSAGAATTTCCTTTCTCCAGTCGCCTGTCTTCTTGATCTTTAACTGAGAAACAAAACCAAAACAAAGTTAACTCGATTTTCACTTGTCACTAAAAAAGATGAGAACAGAACGAATAGAAATGAACAAAACGTACCCTTCCTCTCACTGGCGGAGTTCCCCTGTCATCAAAAAAAGCAGAAATACTGAATAGGAGTGAAAAAGTGGTGGTTGCTATTCGCCTTTCATCGCCAATGATGCAATGCAAAGAAAGCAGCCGGAAAATGTGCAAATGGAAGTGGASAAACACTTTACAAACACGAACAAAATAGACATGCTGCCAGCTGTAGGTGTTTCCTTTAACAATTCAGGGTGGAAATTATCTTTCGCTTTTATTRAGGGTTTTWATTGAGGRAGTGAARGCCAGTATAGAWACGGAAAGCCTCTAATACTAAACGAGCCAGAACTTAAGTCACGTGGTGTCTCGACCGGCATTCAGAACGTGAACTACAGAGRTGACAGTCAAACTTGAAAACGGAATTTTTTGAAATCAGGTCAAAATGTATCATAAAGTTCAAATTCTGGAGCTCAACGTATTGAGAAAACTGTTATAATCATCAAAACATCTACTTTTCCTTTTCTCACTATGTTTTTATGGAAACTTGACGGTCAACCAACGTAAACAGAGATATCTTGCTTACTATATAAAAATAATCAAAAACTAATCGCCAGGTTTTTACTTACGGTGGCTGGGAGGAAAGAGTTCCTGCTCTTTCCCTCATAAACGAGTTTTCTACCCCAACTACAGGTGGAGGTGTCTTCTCATGGGTAAGCTCAATCACCTTTTCAAATAAATAGAGATTTGTTATACTTAGTGCGGTACGTTAGAGGAATGAAGCAGACAGATATCAAAGAAAGGGCCAGTTCAATTTCAAAAACTCCTAAAAGTGTCTTKAGCAACTTTTTTTTAAACATCCTTACTGAGAGCTGACTACACGCTATAAGAATTCCATGTGATGCCCAGTTCAAATACCTGAGTATGGTTTACGTCTCCCGTCTCTGTGTCGCTGTCAGGTTCAGTTTTGTCCTTTTTTCGTCGATATTCCGGTACAGCTTTGACTGTACCCATTACAACATGAGAGGCTATTAAAAACAATGAACATGCAGATCTTAGTTACTTAGATATGGAGCGTTTTACTAATAAAGAAAATCGCCGACAAAATTATTAATTTTCTTTTCTTTCAAAATCCGAAAATAATGAAAGCTGAACTGTCTRCTKGACAGGGGCGTGTACAAGGGGATACAATTTCCCCCTCCACCTCCACCCCTTGGAAAAGACCAATGTAGCAATAACTCAAATAATAAAAGCTGAGCTGTCTACTGGACAGGGGCGCGTACAAGGGGGTAAACCTCCTCCACCCTCTCCACCTCCACCCCTTGGAAAAGTCCAATGTAGCAATAACACAAATAATAAAAGCTGAGCTGTCTACAGGACAGGGGCGTGTACAAGGGGGTATACACCTCCTCCACCCTCTCCACCTCTATCCCTTGAAAAAGTCCAATGTAGCAATAACTCATGTTGTAGGATGCATAGGTTAAATTTGGCATTTGCACAAGAAAATCTGCGCTTTTTTAGATGTTTGTTTTAGCGAAACATAGTAATTTATTTTACTGTGATCTATCAGTACCTGGAAACCAACCAACTCGATTCTTGCAGTGCCCCTGCCACCAGTTGTCAGTCTAAAATGACAAATTGATTTGTAGTTACAGGGAAAAAAACACATTATGATCAGCAGTCATAGAGAAGTATTGAGCATGCTCACAAGGAAATTTGCATTAAAAGTACTACYATGTATGACATGCAAATATGAATAAAATACATGGAAAWATAAACAGGCAAATACTAGMTGTATTGAGCGCTAAACAGACCCATAGACTGGAGGTYCGKTTCGKGTGGGAGTTCTTACTTTTTGTATAATCGTGACTTCATCTCCGACCGTCAAATCAAGGTCTGAACCGCTGGCTCCTTTGAATGCAGTAACGACTCGAACTTTTCCCCCAGCGTTGCTTATTTTCCTTTTGGTCTTCTTTTTTTCCTTCATTCGCTTTTTAAGCTTTCTCTCTCTCTGGAAATATAGCATAAAAATACATTTTTATCACTGCTGAACAACTTAAATTCCTTGCTTACAGCCCACTGATTGCTTTGATTGGCTTACAAATGGTCAARTGGTACTAAATCAACCATGCTGGATCATGGCAAAATACCCACTGGGATGTTCACACAGAAAATTCAAGCTTGACTGGCTGCGCTCCTTTTGTTTTTGATGTTGTTTACGAATGTTCAAATTTACGATGGTGAGACACTACGTTTTTCTGTAAGATACGTACCTTATCTCCTTTGAAATCGTTTTCTTCCTAAAACGACAAGAATATGGACTATTACTTTGTAGAATTCAACAACGAATTTCGAAAGTCCACCACGTGACGCGATAGTGCAAGCCGCGAAGGGCTAGCCCGCCGCTTCATAAAATTTTGCTTTTGAATAATAAAGACAATAGAACCGTTGAAATCTCGGTCATTTTGCTGTGATAGTTACCCTAAACTGCATGTTCCTCAAAAAATCATAGTCGCCCCTGGACTGTGTTCTCAGGCAAACATCGAGTTTCTGCGGGGAACTATCACGGCATAATGTCCTCGGTTCAACTACTCTATTGGTTTAAATAGTGTGATTTTATAGTCATTAAGAAGTAAAGGTTGTATCGAGATATTAYTCCCTAAGAGTACAAGCGGCAATAACGACAAACAAAACTTTAGGATCCAAACATTGCTACCTCAGATTTTTCATCGTCTTCTGATAAAGGATCATTGTTGTTCTGTCGGTGGGAATAATATGTTAGTATTATTTCGTCTTTGACTCAAATATCAGGGCGTGGTGGGGCGCTGTTCTTTTACGTTTTACCAGTGAAAATTTGACCTCAAATCCCTGTTCATCTTTTGGTTATTTGAACGTTAAAGATGAAAATCATCGAGCACTGCAGAAAAGCCGTCCAGAACAAATGTACTGCTAGGCACCATTCTAGGATTATAACACAGCAAAGGAAGGGTTTTTCGGCAACGTACCTTAGCCACCGCATTAGATCCTCTTTTTATTCCTATGGTAGGGGAAGCTAGAGACTGTCTGCGGCCTGCAACTTGCTCTGCCTGTTGTATCGGAATAAAATTAGTATACTATATATAAGGTTTTTAAAACAGCTTTTATTTTGTATGCTGTTTCAGTGAATGCTGTATTAAAGCGAACCTSTTCTTATGAATGTTTCATGGTATATCGGTCAGTATAAAGGAGAGCTCGTTGTTTCCTTGTTARCTTGAAGTAACTTAACATGAGGCGGACGCTTTCGCGGCTATTATGGTAAAGCTTTGTTTTCACTACGAAGCAAACCAATGAGTCCAATAATAAATGCGCTAGACGTTTAAACACCAGGGAAATCGACCAAACGCAACTCCAACGACCCAAATCCACTGCTAAGCGTGAGCTCAGGCCAAAGCAGAAAACAAAATATGTGAAAACTAACAAGTATAAGGCCCATTTACATCGATCTTTCGTCGAGTCTAATCTAATTGGTGGATTTGAGTCTATGAGCATTTTGTACTCTGAATTTATTAACATTAGTAAATTTTATTCAGTTGGACAAACTTACTATATATTCCGTAAATAGCAATCGATGTAAACTGCAAACTTCTCGAAAACTGCATGTAAGCAATTAGATTAGACGCGGCAAAAGAGCGACGTCATGTGGGCCTAAACTGCTTGAGAGGGGTCATTGTCCCCAGCGTTTTTTCTTATTTTCATCTTTGAGCTCTATTTTTTCTTTGTAATATAATATTGAAAAACCTCCAACTATTTCCACTCAAACATTTTTCTTTAATTCGATCATGATGGAAATGGGACTAAACTGACCTGTCTTTGCAAGTTTGACTAATCGAATGTCAAAAATCAAGGAAGGCCCCTTGATATTAAACTAGTACTCGAATTTTCTTGGCTTCAGGGTTAAAAGAATTGTGCTAATTTTCTCAAAATCCAAGGGACTGTAAAGTCTATAAATGAAGGTCCACAAACATATGATTTCGATCATACCAGTAGCACATGATGGACTTGCACACACAAAAAACAACACTGAACTTTTAATGACGTCATAGYTGACATAATTGTTTGGAGGGAAAATAATCTAGAAAAAGATTAAAATTCTGTGCTATAACACATCAATGAGGCTATGATAATCACCATTTTACTAATCTCTCTAGAGATATTGTAAGCTTTKTCATGCAGTCTCTGAATCACTGCTATATCAGCCTGCCACCTTTCAAAAAAGCGCGTTCTGAAATGCAAAACCGCGATGCATTGTGGTTTAGCTTCCTTGCAAGCAACACCACACTTTGTCTCAGAAACAAAAAAAGTTTTCACCGAACCTAGACCAAAATTTGTGCAGTTATGTGTAGCCTACCGAAAAACAGGACGCTCTTAGAGCGTGTACATGGGCTACAGGTTAAGGTTTCTAACAGCATTGAACCAAGGCATCACAAGTGTTCATTACTTTCTTATCATTTATTATTTMACTTGTTTGCTAGGCACTTGCAGTCTATATCTCTTACCATGATATAGAAATGAAAGAAAGTTATAGTGCTTAGAAGGAGGATATTCCGGGAGAAGTCCCTTAGGAATAAATTCGGAAAAATTAATTTCCGACCTCGCTGGGATTCGAACCCACGACCTTCGGATTGTACACCGATGCTCTACCAGCTGAGCTACAAGGCCAGACTGGGAGCAGGTCGGGGTGAAATAGATGTTAAAGTTGCGGTAATAGAATAATTATATGAATATGAAGACCGCATGGCACTATGATAAACACGATATAGAAAATCGTGTTTATCATAGTGCCATTCGGTCTTCATATTTATATCTCTTACCCTTGCGCTGCCGAAGATACTGCTGGCGAAGCTGTTCAAGACATCTACTGCCTGTTTCTTCACCGAAGGCTATAAATAAAAAAATGAAKGTAAACAACAAAACTTAAAAAAAACTTTAGTAATTCAATAATGGTGAATTGTGCGAATTCTTTTGTTTTCTATTGTCTGAACTACAATAATTTGCGCTCTTTTATACCATATGGTTAGTAATTTTTCACGCTTTCTTGAGTGTTGCACCGTGATAAAATACGGCTTAAAACACTGATTTGAATCTCAAAACTAAAAACAAACACAGTTCTTGCGTAAAAGGCCTAAACGTTCAAGTTATTGGGATTGGTTCAAACCTTGTATAATTGAAAATACTGCAAAATACAAACCTTTGCTGTAATTGGTCTTTGGTCGGACAAATGTCTTCCTATCACAGTATTTTGTTGGTCTTCGTTTGAAGCTAGTTTATTGAAAGCCTCTATCGCAATAGCTACGAAAAGACTAAAATAAGAATAAAGAAACACTTAGATATACTAAACAGACTAAGATAGAAAGAAATACGTGTAAACTTACTTCATTACTACCATGTTTACTACAATGTACGCCAATACAAAGTACATACTTGACCAATATGTTTGTGTTGACTGGACTACCTGTTAACACAAACGGAACACCATTAGCTTGTGCATTATTGCTGTACTCTATTATGATAGACATTTTCAGTAGCCAATTCACTAGTACTGACTCTTATCATAACAAGCTCATGCACTTACTCGTGCAATAATTTAATTTTATGGCAGACAAAATGACGAGTTTCATAGCGGTATTAAGATGTAGCAATATCAAATAAAAGATAACTGTACTGTCTAATTGAAAGATCGCGTTGTCAGGTTCGAAAAGGTGTAATTATCGAAACTAAGACCGAAGGGGATTTTGGGTACTCATAATTGTGAATTATATTTTTCTAAACAGTCTAAAAATGAACTATTTCCAAAGCAGGTCATACTTAAAGGGACACTGTCAATGGCACGCATGCGCGAGTAAACTTGAAAACACCAAGAGGAACGACGGCTCTGGGTACGAGATTGTGAAAACACTAGCCTAGTGTTTTCAAGTTTATGACTCCAAGTTGGCGCGACATAAATCAGATYGTARACGTAAACAGATCTAGAATATTCCAAAGTGTGTCAAAAGCACCACAAAATGATTTTCCTYGAAGGTWATACTTTCAAAGTCCGTTAGAGGTGAGACTGTTACTGCGCATGTCATCCATTGACAGTGTCCTTTAATATTAATATACAAATAAACAATTTTTCTTACGAGATTGGAAAAATGCATTTTGACTTTTTTTTATTCATTCCTAACTATGATCGAGCATACGAAGCCGACTGTGTTGTGTAAAAAGATCGATTTAACACCGTAACAAAAAAAAGTAGGTGAAACAACTGACGCTAGTAAGTTGTTTCACCTACTTTTTTACGGTGTTAGTTTTAGCTTATTACATAATTGTTTTTTTTTAGAAACACCGACGCAGCTCACACTAATGTTACTAATTCATTACCGCTAGTTTCCACCATTTTTTGTTAGATAAGAGTTCCACGAAGCTGGTTGTTAGTAAATCTTGCCCAAAAATTATACATTAAAAAAATAAACATTACATGGACAAAAATAAAAACAAAGCGTCAAGCCCCCCAAAAGCCTTGTATTGTAAAAAATCTTGTTGTATATTTCGTCCCTCCCCGGGTCAAAAACTATTTTTGTTTGCATCATAGCGAGGCAAGGCCAGGCTGCATAGGAGTTTCACCATCAACACAGGAAGTTGCAACAACGTGAACTTTAAAAACCAGAATGTGGTCAGATAGTGTTAACATTTCACGCGACAATGGGGACGATTGATTACGATTATGAAGTACAGCTTGATGTAAATTCGTGGTTTGGTGTTTTCTCTTTACTGGACGTTAAAGACAAGCAAAATGTCGCGCAGGTTAGTCGCTATTGGAAGGAGATCGTGTACCTTCGATCATTGTGGAAGAATGTTTGTGTGACCCTTCGAAACATCGATCATTCCTTGGCTACGAGTTTAGAACAGCGTAGAATAACTCGTATCGTGTGCCGTGGTTCGACTGACGAGGACTTGGCRATATTATTCAATGCAAACCCTCATATCACAAGTTTGAAGATAGATGGATGTCGTCAAGTTACTCAGCAATTTCTGCAGCGAAACCTGATCACGTTAAACGAGCTATGCTCCTTGCACATAACAAGATGCCCAGTTGACATTGAGTCGTTATTCCAAGAAATCTCATTAACTGGCTTGCTAAGCCGTCTTAAAAGCGTCACAMTTCCACGTCTAAATAGCTCAAGTTTTCAAGATATTATAAARAAGTTCCCAGGCTTAGAAGAAATAGATGATGATAGTGATGATTGCTTCGAACTTATTGATATAGGTGAAAATTGCATGAAAATCTTAGTACAGTCCTGTCCAAAAATTCAAAGTTTGAGACTTAGAAGATTATACACTGGATGGTTAAGTCAAGAGGCCTGGACCACAGTTTTCAAAGGACTTCCTCTCAGATGTATTGATTTGACTTCCCTGCATTATAATATAGGTTATGATGGTTTCAACTTCTTAAAAGTTATTGCTGATAATTTACCAAACCTTGAGTCCTTGAAGACTGATTCTCTAGCAATAGATTCTAATAATGAGGTGATTGATGCAGTTAAGAAACTCAAAAACTTGAAAGAGTTTTCCTTTAGAATAGCTGATCAATATGATCATGATGATTACCTCGAGCAAAAAGAAGAGAAATTATTACATGAGATTTCTAAGATGACACAATTAGAGTGTCTTAAAGTCAGATTGTGCGGCACAACATTCACTGGGGAAACAATATACTCTCTTGTTGAATGCTTGTCCAAGTTGAGATCACTTGAATTGGAACCAATTGGAAATATTAGTTCTGAATATGCAGATCTGATTGGAGAACGACTGACAAAGTTAAAGTCATTGAAAGCTATTGCTSTAGAAGGTGCTGCTGGAATTGGGGCTTTTTCCAACCACTTGCCAAATTTAACTGACTTGAATATCAAGGCTCATGGCAAGCTTCTTAATAGAGATATGAAAGAAATAACGTCTGGTCTCTTGCCAAGTAAACTCAAGTCCYTCAATRTTGCAGGGAGTAAAAAAATAAGAGATCAGGGACTRACCTACATTGCCACAGGTCTCAAATCATTGACTTGTTTGGATATATCTTCATGTAGCGTGAGTAATGTTGGTTTAACYATCATAAGTGAAGAATTAAAGCATCTTAAACAGCTGAGTGTTACTGGGAGAAAGGTTACAAATCAAGGTAAGAATTCCTTCTCTAGTACACATTAATATTTCATGAATATTGGATGGTAATTTTGATCTTGAAATTGTATGTATCTTGGCATAATATATTGTCAATGCTACTTCTATGTGCCTAGATAGTCATTAGACTAAATCATTTACTTTATAAAGCTGTCATAATGACRACAAAACATCATTAGTTTTCTATCAAATTATGTTTCCAAAGTAGTCCTGATTGACGTGGAAAAAAAAACATTCAAAAGCTTACATGAATGTTTTACATTAAGGTCACGTAGTGGCCAATCTTATTATATACTAGTAGCACTTGAAGAACATTGTACTTCGTATTATTTATGATCACTGTGAAGTTCTTTTTGGTTGATAATTTAWTGACTTTATGTTCATTTAGGTGCAATTATGATTGGTAAGCATCTCAAAGCCTTGGAGAAACTGAAAATTAGTGGCACAAAGATTAGTGATCAAGGATTTGCTTTCATCTGCCAACAACTCCCAAACCTTCGCAACCTACAAGCTTTCTGTGACTTGTTAACTGATCAGGGTTTCTCGCAGGGAKCTACTGAACTTGGGAAGTTAACAACTCTACATATAGGGTCACACAGGATTCGTGCTGTGGCAATGCAAGATTCTTTGAAGAATTTAAAAAGYGTTGAACAGTGCTCCATAAGATCAATCGGGGTAACTGATGGTTTTATAGAGAGGATGATCAAAGARATGCCTTGTTTAGTAAAGCTGCTTATTTATCGTTGCTCTCATTTGAGAAATTTCAGGAGCTTTAATATTAATAAGGCTTATGAACTGTGTCGAAAAAATGGAATARCMTTTAATTGTGGTCCCATGTCTTGTATAAAATTACCTTTCCAAGCACCATAAAATTCACTCTTTATTGACATACTATTGCAATGAATAGAAACTTTCCTCAGAGTCTGAATGCCCAGGATATTGCTGTAGCTGGATTTTTATATTGTTGTGTTATTATGTGTCCTGGATTTTGTATCATTGTGTTGTAATGCAGATGTATCAAATAGTTTTTTTCTAATGAATAAAACCATGATCTGAGGACAGAGTTTGCCTGTAGGGCACCAATACTTACTGAATTCATGATTTCATGCCAGTTGCTTGTTGTAACCATTTGAAACAGTACAATACAAGAACAACTGAAGATAAAATGTAAACAGTCATTGGTTGAATYATTCAAAAATAAGACAAAAGCATGCTAGTCTCCTTGGCAGCCATTCCRAACTTAAGAACAGCTGTGATRGAGACTTAAGATTGGAACTTGAGCCYGTCAAACACTAAATTTCWTTTACAARCACAGYCTGGTTTCTCTCGAAGCTCACAATGTGACAAGGGAAGGGAGCATTGAAATAAAATGTATATTGTATTCTTACGCAAATGTATTGAATCCAATGCCGCATTGCTCCAAGTACATGTGCTCACCCTTACGAACTGGTGACCATTTAAATAATTCCATTCCAACATTGGCTAATAAATACCTGCATGGGAATTCGAAAAAACACTTAAAAAGTGAGAACATTGCCACAATAATAAACACGAGCAACAGTATTTATAACTTAACAATAAATGTACAAAAAATCCAAGTTGTAAAAAAATGTGTCAATGCCAGTGATCATTTGCCAGTGATCAGTTTGACATGTACCATCTTTCAATGATTGTTCATGTACAATTTCTTTGGTACAGCCATTCTGACGATCATAATACTTAGCGTTAAAACATTTAAATGTTTTGGTGTGACGTATTTATGTCATTCCTGCAATGAGGGAGGGCATATAGAAAACGAGCAGAAGACTGGAAATGAGCACCTTAAACGGTCCATGTTTTTAAAACTCAGTTTTCAAGATAAGAAAGAGTATATTTAAAATGGTGAATAGTCTTATTTTTAGTTTCAAACGGTAAAATATTGGCAGAGCTACGAGGACTTAAAAACGTACCAAAAACGTGAAAACGAGGCTGGTAACGCCTCGATGCTGTCAAATTTGCAATTTCAAACATCTGTAATTTCTAGTCCTTAAATGTTAGAGCATTGAAACTTTCAGATCTTGACGATCTTATTCATTGTAATATATGGATATGAAGACCGCATGGCACTATGATAAACATGATGGGATTCGAACCATTCATTGTAATATTATTTTGTAATATTATTCATTGTAATATGCCGTTCTTTCAATGGGTAGCAATGATATCATACAACTTATAAACTTAGGCGTTACGATAGATACGCCCTTTTTCATATGGTCTATAATGRCCTATAATACGGGAAACCTTAATATATAATACTCACAAAATAATAAATAACAGGCAAATAAGATCGACCATGACTGGTGCAATTCGAATAAACACTTCAATGGCTCGCTTGAGTTGTGTGTTGTTGAACGGTAGACGAAAGAACACAGCCAAGCACGATATTAGAGTGGCAATATTRCGGTTGATGTCACGGGATACAAACGAAGCGTACCATGCGCAGTTTGCGAAGAATGCAATAAGAATCTGAAAGATAAGTGATAAGGTGTTAAACATAAGATTACTTTGCGTTCTCGGGCGACTTAGCCTGTGTACATCCGTTTCTCACCCCTCCAACAATGTTTTTGGAGGGGAGAGAAACGGATGTACACAGGCTACGGGCGACTATTTGTGCGTGAAAATCTGATGCCTGAGGAAAAGTTTGTTTGATATAGTTCGTGTGCTTTGAKTCATATAAAACAACACAAACATCGATTATTAGGAAAAGAAAGTTACCAAGACGACATCTGTGAGCTCGAGTGGAGAAAGAATCTTCTTGCCAAGAACCAGAAATCGCATCACCCCTTCAAACTGGAGTCAATGGAATCAAGTTAATCAAATACAAAATTAAAAATATTTCTCATTCAAAGTTGATCAACCGCAAACAATACAGAATGATCAGTTCAAGGGAGAAAAATGTAGAATCCCAATTTCCGTTTGCTGTCGCTGTCAGTAAATTCCCAGTGACCATCTACCATTTCCTAGTRACCAGTGTTATTGGATGTAGTTACAGTACTAATTGAACGCATTGTCTCMCACATTCATGACAAGACCGAAAACGATTATAGAAATCTTTCCACCCAATAGTTAATTATCATGTTAAAAAGCATCCTTGCGCAAAACGTAAAGACAAACGGGAGAGTCACACTCGATACAACCATTCGGTCTGGTCTCGTATTTGCTTGAGATCGACTGTCAATGAGGTCGACAACTGTCAACGGTTGATTATTATGCTTTATTAACACAGAAAGCAACCATACGTAGTGTATTGTAGACAAAGGCTTACGTACCATGAAAATTGTCACTATAAAAGTACGGATCACTGAAATGATAATAGAAACAAATAGTGAGTATTCAAAAAGAGATGTTAGAGAGACCGATAAACATAAACTCCAGATATAAGGTCTATTTTTACTAGAACAGGGATAAAATATGCAATTTCATCTTGTGCTTRTGTTATGATCATGTTTATTTTTATGTCACGTGCAAACCGGTCTTAAATGGTTTCAATGGAATACAGTTCAGTATGGAAGTGTAACCTTGGATAGTTAGTTGTTCGCTATAGTCTTGATCTTTCCATTTAAATGAAAATAATATGCTGAAATAGAATAATGAAAACGTGTGATAAGCATAAATGGATCAGTTATAAATGCGATTTTGGCCTATGACGTTATGCTACAAAACATCTGTCGCATGTACACTGAACTTGCGCAATTTTATTGAAAAGAGACTCCAACGTAAATCAATTCGACATTACTTTGAACACTCACACGACCGGTAAATGCGCATGTCAAGCTGGAAGTTCTCATTTAAACAAAATG